TACAAGATCTGAGTACTTCTACTTTTACTCAAGTACAAGATCTGAGTACTTCTACTTTTACTCAAGTACAATATCTGAGTACTTCTACTTTTACTCAAGCACAAGATCTGAGTACTTCTACTTTTACTCAAGCACAAGATCTGAGTACTTCTACTTTTACTCAAGTACAAGATCAGAGTACTTCTACTTTTACTCAAGCACAAGATCTGAGTACTTCTACTTTTACTCAAGTACAAGATCAGAGTACTTCTACTTTTACTACAAGATCTGAGTACTTCTACTTTTACTCAAGTACAAGATCAGAGTACTTCTACTTTTACTACAAGATCTGAGTACTTCTACTTTTACTCAAGTACAAGATCTGAGTACTTCTACTTTTACTCAAGTACAAGATCTGAGTACTTCTACTTTTACTCAAGTACAAGATCTGAGTACTTCTACTTTTACTCAAGTACAAAATCTGAGTACTTCTACTTTTACTCAGGTACAAGATCTGAGTACTTCTACTTTTACTCAAGTACAAGATCTGAGTACTTCTACTTTTACTCAAGTACAATATCTGAGTACTTCTACTTTTACTCAAGTACAAGATCTGAGTACTTCTACTTTTACTCAAGTACAAGATCAGAGTACTTCTACTTTTACTACAAGATCTGAGTACTTCTACTTTTACTCAAGTACAAGATCAGAGTACTTCTACTTTTACTACAAGATCTGAGTACTTCTACTTTTACTCAAGTACAAGATCAGAGTACTTCTACTTTTACTACAAGATCTGAGTACTTCTACTTTTACTCAAGTACAAGATCAGAGTACTTCTACTTTTACTACAAGGATCTGAGTACTTCTACTTTTACTCAAGTACAAGATCAGAGTACTTCTACTTTTACTCAAGCACAAGATCTGAGTACTTCTACTTTACTCAAGTACAAGAATCTAGAGTACTTCTACTTTTACTCAACAAGATCTGAGTACTTCTACTTTTACTCAAGCTACAAGATCTGAGTACTTCTACTTTTACTCAAGTACAAGATCTGAGTACTTCTACTTTTACTCAAGCTACAAGATCAGAGTACTTCTACTTTTACTCAAGCCACAAGATCTGAGTACTTCTACTTTTACTCAAGTACAAGATCAGAGTACTTCTACTTTTACTCAAGCACAAGATCTGAGTACTTCTACTTTTACTCAAGTACAAGATCAGAGTACTTCTACTTTTACTACAAGATCTGAGTACTTCTACTTTTACTCAAGTACAAGATCAGAGTACTTCTACTTTTACTACAAGATCTGAGTACTTCTACTTTTACTCAAGTACAAGATCAGAGTACTTCTACTTTTACTACAAGATCTGAGTACTTCTACTTTTACTCAAGTACAAGATCTGAGTACTTCTACTTTTACTCAAGTACAAGATCTGAGTACTTCTACTTTTACTCAAGTACAAGATCTGAGTACTTCTACTTTTACTCAAGTACAAGATCTGAGTACTTCTACTTTTACTCAGGTACAAGATCTGAGTACTTCTACTTTTAATCAAGTACAAGATTTGAGTACTTCTACTTTTACTCAAGTACAATATCTGAGTACTTCTACTTTTACTCAAGCACAAGATCTGAGTACTTCTACTTTTACTCAAGCACAAGATCTGAGTACTTCTACTTTTACTCAAGTACAAGATCAGAGTACTTCTACTTTTACTCAAGCACAAGATCTGAGTACTTCTACTTTTACTCAAGTACAAGATCAGAGTACTTCTACTTTTACTACAAGATCTGAGTACTTCTACTTTTACTCAAGTACAAGATCAGAGTACTTCTACTTTTACTACAAGATCTGAGTACTTCTACTTTTACTCAAGTACAAGATCAGAGTACTTCTACTTTTACTCAAGCACAAGATCTGAGTACTTCTACTTTTACTCAAGTACAAGATCAGAGTACTTCTACTTTTACTACAAGATCTGAGTACTTCTACTTTTACTCAAGTACAAGATCTGAGTACTTCTACTTTTACTCAAGTACAAGATCTGAGTACTTCTACTTTTACTCAGGTACAAGATCTGAGTACTTCTACTTTTAATCAAGTACAAGATCTGAGTACTTCTACTTTTACTCAAGTACAATATCTGAGTACTTCTACTTTTACTCAAGCACAAGATCTGAGTACTTCTACTTTTACTCAAGCACAAGATCTGAGTACTTCTACTTTTACTCAAGTACAAGATCAGAGTACTTCTACTTTTACTCAAGCACAAGATCTGAGTACTTCTACTTTTACTCAAGTACAAGATCAGAGTACTTCTACTTTTACTACAAGATCAGAGTACTTTTACTTTTACTACAAGATCTGAGTACTTCTACTTTTACTCAAGCACAAGATCTGAGTACTTCTACTTTTACTCAAGTACAAGATCAGAGTACTTCTACTTTTACTACAAGATCTGAGTACTTCTACTTTTACTCAAGCACAAGATCAGAGTACTTCTACTTTTACTACAAGATCTGAGTACTTCTACTTTTACTCAAGTACAAGATCAGAGTACTTCTTCCACCTCTGAGCATCACTATTATTGATACAACCAAAACAAACACAGAACAAACTCAGTTAAAGATTCATTCAAAAGCCAAAAAGTCACATTTTTTTATTTCCAACTATTTACTTTACATTGACTAATTTGACATAGTAATTGTAAACTGATATAAGGATGTGTTTGGAGTTTATTACTGCATTTAGGGTTAGGGTTAGGGTCGAGTTATAACTTGTTTTATCAAGCATCCTATTGAAACAAGTGAACACTAAAGCATTCTCATTTATAAAACATCACCACAATTTAAAGGCTTTACAAAAAGCTTCACGACAAGCTACAAAAGAAACAAATGATAAAAGGACATTTAAGTCTGACCCTGAAGGTTCGTTCTTCAACTAAATAGTCATTTGAAAAAATAAATAAATCTTAGATTATTAAGATTTGAGCGTCTACTGAATCTTTGATCTTATCTTCAGTGTTACGTGTTGTTTACATTGCTCAATAAGGGGTCAGAACAAAGTGTGCCGGACTGGCGCGTTTCCACTACACGGCCTCGCTCGGCCCCGCTCGGTATGGCTGGGCCTCGTTAGGACTGGCTCACTTTATGGCGCATTTCCATTACAGTTTAGGAACTGGGGTAGTATCTATAGTAACGCAGTGTAGGCGGAGCCGTGACGTCATCTTCAATGAGAACCCCAGAAAAACAACATCAGCCGTTAGCTGTTAGCACTCAGAGCTCACAGCTCCTCATATCTGTTCAGAAACTAGACAACAGTTAAACAAGTACAAACCACAGACTGCCTGTGTCATGGAGAATACAGTCGCTGCTTTATTTATGTCTGTATAGGCCGTTGTTGTGAGTGTGGACGGTCGGAGCATATACTGCGTTAGCTTAGCCAATCTCCATTTAGAAAACACGCATTTTAAAAGGTTTTTCGCCTGCCTTCTGTCTGCAGACTTGTCAAAGCATTAATTCATGGTTTTTACTAACCGGTATCAGTATGTTGTTACTTCGGCATCATTTTGAAACGTGTATTACAATTAAATCACGGTCAAATATGTTCATCTTGTTGTAGTTGTAGCCCCCTTGCCAGCGATGCTCTCTCTAGTTTAGCATACTCAGCCCGACTCAGCCTCGTTGTCTCTGGCCCTAGACCCGCGATTTTATGAGGCCAGAAAAACTGTGAATTAGGACCCGCTAGCCGGTACTAGGCCAAGTGGAAACGCAACCAAAGACGGGCCGCTGACATCACAGCCCTCTTAAACCGTGCTCCGCGCTGTAGTGGAAACGCGCCATAACTTATTTACAGTGCATGACGTTAACTTGAAGTGAAACCAACGTGTTTTCATTGTGATCTCACAGATCAAAGTTCAAATACACACACCTGCCTGTTTTCAATACTTGTGAGGACCTTGGAAGGAGTGTGTTTGTGTGGAAGTGGCTCCATCTGGTGTGCTAAACGAGTATAAGTGTGCATTATTATCTACCTCAGCGGTTCCCAACCTTTTTCAACTCAGGGCCCACTTCAGAATCTAAAAAATGGTCGCGGCCCACATTCAACCATAAACAACACGGAGGCTAAATAAAGTTCTGATTGGTCCATTCAGAACATGTGACACGTTGTAAATCCAGTAGAACACAGTCAATGAAGGACCATTTTGAGACAGAGACAGTGTTCAACATTTTTACGTTTTTAGTTTTGTATAAAGTCATAGTGGACAAAAAGACCCAAAATACCATCATTGGTGGGGTTTTTTGGAACAGAATTCGTCTGTTGAGTAGTTAAAAATGTATAAAATTACATTATGAAAAACAAAATGCTTTCTTGTTAACCTCAACGCTTCCTAAAACTGTATTATCATTATAAACTCTTCTTTGGTGGGGGTCACATGGGGGTCAAAGATCATTGTTAATTGCCCCAGAACCACACATATTTGTCACTATTGAAGTGTCTTCTACTTTTACTCAAGTACAATTACTTCTACTTTTACTCAAGTACAAGATCTGAGTACTTCTACTTTTACTCAAGAACAAGATCTGAGTACTTCTACTTTACTCAAGTACAAGATCTGAGTACTTCTACTTTTACTCAAGTACAAGATCTGAGTACTTCTACTTTTACTCAAGTACAAGATCTGAGTACTTCTACTTTTACTCAAGTACAAGATCTGAGTACTTCTACTTTTACTCAAGTACAAGATCTGAGTACTTCTACTTTTACTCAAGAACAAGATCTGAGTACTTCTACTTTTACTCAAGTACAAGATCTGAGTACTTCTACTTTTACTCAAGTACAAGATCTGAGTACTTCTACTTTTACTCATATATAACATATATTTAACATTTAGTCTGTTTTTGAAACAGGCCTCGGCCTCTCATTGGTCATTAGCCAGTGCCTGCTAGTTGAGTCCTGATTGGCTGAGCCACATATCAATCATAACTGTGATCTGAGGGGCTGCAGACACACAGATAAAGTCAGTCTGATCGCAGCCAGAAGACTTCAGGACACTTTAAACTGAACTAAAGTGTATTTCCGGCAGCAGGATGGGCTCCAGCAGCTCCAGCATGGAAAACATCCCGAACGCTGAGCGGCTGATGCAGGAAACGGGCTGTGAGTTCTCCTCGTTCTGCTTTCAGGGGGCTTCTTTATGTGTGCAAAATATAAGACAAGGAGCAGTTTGTGAAGGAGAAGAAAAAGACTAAAGAACTAAATGACAGATAAAGACACAGCTTTTTAGATTAGCTTTTTATTAGCAACCCCCCACTTTAAAATGTTCAGTTGTACCTACAGTACAGTACATGTTCACTTTGTTTTATGGGGTTTTATATTTTATATTGTTGCATCGACTCAGTTGTCTTATCCGTCAGAGAGAAACCATTATTGATTTTATTTTTATTTGTATTATCATACCTTTCACCTCGTGTGTCGATTAACCTGATCAAATGTTATATTTTGCTGCATGTACCTTTAAAGAAGGGAATTTCTTGTTCTTTATTTTTAACGTGTCATGTGTCCTTTAGTAAAGCACTTTGAGCTGCATGTGTTGTATGAAAAGTGCTATATAAATAAAGCTTTATTATTATTATTATTATTATTATTATTATTATTATTATTATTAAAGAAACAACTGAAGTAATGATGTATTTGATAATGTGTTCACCATCACATTTAACCCATTGTGAGCCAGCAGTCTAAAGGGCAGTAACAGCACATGAAACCTCAGCACACACACAGAGAGACAGTTTCCTCCGACATTACATCTCCTTTAATAACTCAAACTGTCAGTATTTATACTTTTATAAAGCTGCTGACACTTTAGCATCGGCACATGTGATTAAAGATGACTTTTAATATGATTTAAGACGTGAAAACACACAAAAAGAAAGAGGAAAAATACATTTTAGCTGACTTTGTTTTGCCTTTAAATGCCCTTTCTATTACTCTGTGTGTGTGTGTGTGTGTGTGTGTGTGTGTGTGTGTGTGTGTGTGTGTGTGTGTGTGTGTGCGTGTGCGTGTGTGTGTGCGTGTGCATGTGTGTGTGGGGGTGTGGGTGTGTGTGTGTGTGTGTGTGTGTGTGTGTGTGTGTGTGTGTGTGTGTGTGTGTGTGAGTGTGTGTGTGTGTGTGTGTGTGTGCTTTATCTGCAGTCTGTGCTCTCTGATAGCAGCACACACAGTTTTATCTCAGTGTGTGTGTGTGTGTGTGTGTGTGTGTGTGTGTGTGTGTGTGTGTGTGTGTGTGTGTGTGTGTGTGTGTGTGTGTGAGTGTGTGTGTGTGTGAGTGTGTGTGTGTGTGTGTGTGTGTGTGTGTGCTTTATCTGCAGTCTGTGCTCTCTGATAGCAGCACACACAGTTTTATCTCAGTGTGTGTGTGTGTGTGTGTGTGTGTGTGTGTGTGTGTGTGTGTGTGTGTGTGTGTGTGTGTGTGTGTGTGTGTGTGTGTGTGTACACACTGACACACACTCTGCAGGTTGTTCTGAACTATAATAAACACATGCTTTGTAGCTGCAGCTGTGTGTCTTTGTAAGTGTTGAAAGTCAAATTAAAGTGTTATATTCTTCATTTTCCTTTAAATTCCTGATCTTGATCCTAATCGAGGGTCAGTCCTGTCACACACACTTTGTTGGTTTTATGTCTGTTTTTGTGGGATTTATTTTCTGGTTTTAAATACATTATTGGTAGTGGGGAAAAGTAACTAAGTAGATGTATTAAAGTACTGTACTCAACTACAATTTTGAGGTACTTGTACTTTACTTGAGTATTTCTATGTTATGCTACTGTGTACTTCTACTCCACTACATGTATTTAATACCTTTAGTTACTTCACAGATGTGGATGAATGATGTGAAATGTAATCAAGTGTTAAATCAGACTTTAGTTCCACCTGGAGTAAATCCACAAGCTACCCTGCAGTATACAAAGTCATTCAAACTAGCTGCACCTTTACCAGCTTTGAGAACACTTTCATGATCAATCATTATAAAACATATCATATATATTATTCTGAAATGGACCAATCTGCACAATCACTACTTTTACTGTCGCTACTTTAACTATATTTTGATGAGAATACTTTTCTACTTTTACTTGAGGAACATTTTGAACGCAGGACTTTTACTGAAACAGAGTATTCCTACACTCTGGTACTTCTACTTTTACTCAAGTACAAGATCTGAGTACTTCTACTTTTACTCAAGTACAAGATCTGAGTACTTCTACTTTTACTCAAGAACAAGATCTGAGTACTTGTTCCATCTCTGATTATTGGTTATACATTTTGTATTAATAAATCAAACGTGTGTGTGTGTGTGTGTGTGTGTGTGTGTGTGTGTGTGTGTGTGTGTGTGTGTGTGTGTGTGTGTGTGTGTGTGTGTGTGTGTGTGTGTGTGTGTGTGTGTGTGTTTCAGTTTCTGCTGCTCACATCCTGAATCTGTACGAGAGGTTTGAGTTTCTGGACAGAGACGAGAGAGGAGAGCTCAGGTCAGTCTGGTAATATTGTTTCCACACATCTTTTTAATGGTTTCTAAACACAAAATGAAGAAAAATCTGAAGTTTCTTTCAAAATGCTGCATTTTAAACTTAATGAAAACCCCATAAAACTGTTGTTGGTAATAGTGAGAAGTCTTCCCATGTGTTTATTCCACTGAAGTGATCTGAACTATTTTTAATCATCAGTTTTGTATTATTTCAGTGGTGACTTTGTGACATATATTTCCCATATTTCCTCTTCCTCTGTGTTTCAGGCCTGAGGATTTCGGAGCACTTCGAGAGTTGGCCATGAATCCCATCGGAGACAGAATCATCAGCGCCTTCTTCAGGCCGGGGTGCAGATGCTTTCTACTGGACTCAATCAGATAACTAACATGAAAATTATTAACAAAAATGCTATTTTAGACTCTTAACTTCATCACCTACACTTTACATAGAAACTGAGCAAGTTGCAAAACATACAGCAGTGTTTTCTATTTTGTAACGTTTTTTGCTGTTCCTTGGTTTCAGCTTTGTCTCTACTTTAAAGTGGACCTATCATGCTATATTTGAATAATATAGTGTAGGACCATACCTATATAAGGCATATTTATACTTTTTTTTTTTCAAAATACCAAACAGATCATGCATTTTAGCCATGCCTCATTTCACTCAATTTGAAAAAAATGTGCTCTGTTTTAGCAAGGGCAGATTATGTGAGAACAGCACCATCTACTGGCCTGGCATATGTACTACAGCGTCTCCAGCGCTTTCGAACGGCAATGTCCGTGGCTGTCTCCTCCTGATTGGTGGAGTTGGCCCAATAGCCGTAGCGCCACCGTCCTGACGTCAGGACAGTGTTCAAATCTGGATCAGTTTTTATCAGATCCGTTGCAGCCCCTTTTTTAGAGATTTGGGTATGGAGGAAAATAGAGAGGGTTGTGTTTACTGACACTTGGTGAGTTCCCTGGAACACCGGGGACACATATTCATATAGAAAAGACGTACACAAGTGCATTTTGCATGATAGGTCCCCTTTAAAGAGTCCTCTCCTGCTGATGTTCAGGTGTATATCAGTATGTAGTGTCTCTACTTTAAAGAGTCCTCTCCTGCTGATGTTCAGGTGTATATCAGTATGTAGTGTCTCTACTTTAAAGAGTCCTCTCCTGCTGATGTTCAGGTGTATATCAGTATGTAGTGTCTCTACTTTAAAGAGTCCTCTCCTGCTGATGTTCAGGTGTATATCAGTATGTAGTGTCTCTACTTTAAAGAGTCCTCTCCTGCTGATGTTCAGGTGTATATCAGTATGTAGTGTCTCTACTTTAAAGAGTCCTCTCCTGCTGATGTTCAGGTGTATATCAGTATGTAGTGTCTCTACTTTAAAGAGTCCTCTCCTGCTGATGTTCAGGTGTATATCAGTATGTAGTGTCTCTACTTTAAAGAGTCCTCTCTCCTGCTGATGTACAGGTGTATATCAGTATGTAGTGTCTCTACTTTAAAGAGTCCTCTCCTGCTGATGTTCAGGTGTATATCAGTATGTAGTGTCTCTACTTTAAAGAGTCCTCTCCTGCTGATGTTCAGGTGTATATCAGTATGTACTGTCTCTACTTTAAAGAGTCCTCTCCTGCTGATGTTCAGGTGTATATCAGTATGTAGTGTCTCTACTTTAAAGAGTCCTCTCCTGCTGATGTTCAGGTGTATATCAGTATGTACTGTCTCTACTTTAAAGAGTCCTCTCCTGCTGATGTTCAGGTGTATATCAGTATGTACTGTCTCTACTGGGACATGTCTCTATGCTTTAATGTTCAAATAGCTCTTTATTTTAGCCAATAGAAGCACATGTTTCATATGTTACGGAAGTAAGCAAAGGAGTCCAATGGAAGCGTTTCAGGCGGGGGGTAAACTTTGGGATAGGCTTTGGATTTACATACACAAACACTAAATAACACGCTACAGGAAAGGGTAAACCACAAAAAGCATAATAGGGAAAGTACATCTGAGTAGAATCAGGTAAACAAGAGAAAACAAATGGAGAAATTCACATTAAATACGTTAAATAAAAAACTGTAACATAAATGGAGTTACGATGGTTTGGATCCGTATGTTGCATCTTGTTTTTGTTAATCAGGTTTAACTGGAAACGTCTCTCTCTCTCTCTCTCTCTCTCTCTCTCTCTCTCTCTCTCTCTCTCTCTGTGCAGAATGGAAACGGTGGACTTTCCCTCCTTCGTTCGAGTTCTTGCTAATTTCCGTCCGACAGAAACCAACAGAGCCAGAGACTACAGCAGGATCAGGAAACTCAGATGTGAGTCCACTTAGTTCTTTAATTCTCTATTTGTATCTGCAAACTTCTTATCCACTGAGACCTGTCTGTGTGTTCAGTTGCTTTCCAGTTGTATGACCAAGACAGCGATGGAAAGATTTCCAGAGAAGAGCTTCTTCAGGTCTGTTAAACTCATCTCTGTGTCTCTGCATAAAGATTAAAAAAGGAAATGTAAATGCTGCCACTCACAATAGGACATATCTTTCAGATCAATGGGTTTCAAGCACCTTTCTGCATTACCATGCAATGCAAAAAAAAGGCACAAAGTTTTTGCTGGATTACAATAGAGATATCCAGCACTTAACGTCTTTTAAAACTATCCCTCAGGGGCAAACAAACTACTGCTATCACTATGAATGACAGGAAGATAACAGAGTGTATCATCTGCATAGTAACTCATCCAAATAAAATAAATAAATATGATGCACATAGAAAAAGTAATAGAAGTTAATCCTGCAGCACATTTCACTTCTCTTCTGTAAGTGTTCAGTATTTAACACAACGTCACCCTGAATGTTGTTGAATAAATGTGACAAGGGAGGAAGTTAAAAGACATCCAACATTTAACCTCTTTCCCTTAGGGGCAACCAAATTACTGGTTTTAACAGAAATGACAGGAAGATAAAATAGTGTATCATCTGCAAAGTATTGTATCCTTTGTGTATTATACACAAGCACACAGTAGAGTATTTTTCAATATCATTATTTCAGTTTGGTCCTCATTAAGATGGAGTAACTTACAAGACTTCCAACCCTTAACGTCCTTTAAAGCATTCCCTTAGTGGCAAAAACTTCTCCATCTATGTCCATCAAATTTTAAATGTCCAATATTTTTCACAAAATTCCCCTTTAAATGTGGTTTAATACACCTGACAAGGATAACACTGCACACTTTCCTCAAAGGCATGCAATCTAAATATTTACTTATATTTCATCAAGATAAAACATGGTATCATCTGCACAAAAATGTATCAAAATATTATGTTAATCAAGAAAATAAAAGGCCCCAGGTTAGAGCCCTGTGGAACACCTCAAAAACGTTTTGCGATAATTAAGCTTTCAAGATAGTCCAAAAGTTGGGATTAAACTAAGGATTTGAACTGCTATGGAGTTAAGTATTTTCAGATATTATTATTATTATTAAAAATCAGATTCTCACTCTTAATGTCAGGTTCTGCGCTCGATGCTGGGGACGCAGGTGACGGAGGAGCAGCTGCAGAGCATCGCTGAACGAGCCATCCAGGAGGCGGACCTCGACCAAGACGACGCTATCTCCTTCGACGAGTTCAAAAAGGTGAGAGCGTCGACAAAAAGGGCGACAAAATAGACAATTGGGAATGTTAATTTAAACAAAAGCAGTGGTGTCACTTTCAGAAATTTAGTTTGAGGTTCCGATATGTTAAAAAAAGATAATGCAGATGTAACGTTTTCTGAAAAAAGGTTAAAGAAATTGTGTTTTCTGAATAAACTTGTTAAATAGTTAATAACCTCATGCAGTGTAGTAAAACAATAGTTTGTTTGGGGGGAAAAGCATGATACTAAAGTCTAAATGTAATTATTAAACCTAAATATCTTAGCATTCTTAGGTAGAAAACCATCTTCATGTAATATTTGTATTGTGTTTTCAGTCACTGGAGAAAGTAAACATCGAACAGAAGATGAGCATTTGCTCCCTGAGATGAAGACGAGCTGCTATTTACAGATTTTCCTGATTTGCATTTAAAAGAAGATGGTCTACTGCTTGTTTTGTCTCTAAAAACTGAGAGAGGAGAAGATGGAGATGACCCTCATGTACAGAAACTCAAAGTTGTAAACCATTAGTAGTGTTAGTAGTATTTGTCCCCGAGGGGGAAATGGGTTGCAGCACATCACAAGGCATTTAAAAAGATAAAACATACGTCAAAGACAACAACATAGACACAGATTAAAAAGAACAGACATAAAAAAGAAACTGATATCGGCAGACATGACAAGGCACCTAGGTCCTCATTTACGAGAGAGGGGGGGACAGTGCCAGGCCAGCTGGGTAAACAGTGCGTCCTAGCCTTCATTGATTAAGGAGTTTGATGGCTTGTGGGACGAAAGCCAGCGTAGATCTGTTATTTTTAATTAAACAGAGGGGCACGATATCTCCGCCCGGATGGCAACAGTTCAAATTAAGAGGCAAGTGGGTGCCTCAGGTCACTCACAATATTGTGTGCCATTTTAAAAACGCTGTCCTTGTATAAGCTTTCTATAGAAAATGAGATTCCTGACAATTTACTGGACAATGTTACGGCCCTCCTGACTGACTTTGTCTGTGCCTCAGGGGCGTTGCCGAACCAGCATAAGATGCCGAAGGAGAGCACACTTTCAATAAAAGCATGATAAAACATCTTAACCATTCTGTTGCCGACATTAAAAGACAATAATTTACGTACAAAGAACATTCTTTGTTGAGACGTAGCATTAACTTTCTCAGAGCATTAACTTTTTTGCAGGTCTCCCTTGAAAAAGAGATCTATGATCTCAAGGGACCAATCTGGTTAAATAAAGGTTTGAAATTAAATGAAATGAGACCATACATCCCATCTGAGCTTGTGGTCAAGCACGACCCCAAGATACTTGTACTCAGTGACACATTGTATAGGCTCCCTATTTAAAAGAGTAGGGTTGGGGGATTGTGCTATTATACAATCAATTTCCATCTCCATTATATCTGTTTATCAAAATATAACATTCTGACCTGATGGTGGCACCAGAAAAGAAGTAAGGGCGATTCTTGACGGACAGCAAAAAAGTCCGATATTATACAATCAAACAAATAAATAAAAACAAGGATAATTGTGTCTTCTTGTTGAGTTGTGTGGTTTATAAATACAATTAGAAGGAAAAATCGATGAAACAATACAGATTTCAGTATTCTGAGCCCCTAAGCTCTTCCTAACTGACGGCAACACAAGTCTGACGTTATACAATTAAAATAAGGAAGTAATAACAATAAGTGTGGCGGTAAAACCGTGTGTTTAGTTTGCGGGGAGCAGATCGCCGTGTTTAAGGAGTACAATGTGAGTCGGCATTACGAGACGAAACACGCGGAGAAATATAAAAACTTGACTGACGCTGAAAGGGCGCGGACATCGGAAGCTTTGCTAGCTAAGCTGCAAAAGCAGCAAGGCTTTTTTACCAAGCTTCACACATCCAGTGATGCAGCAACCATGACCAGCTTTGTGATATCCCACAAAATCGCTAAAAACAGTAAGCCGTTCTCGGAGGGGGAGTTTGTCAAAGAGTGCTTGGTGGACTCTGCAGCACTAATATGCCCTGAAAAAAAAGCCGCATTTGAGCAAGTCCCGCTGTCCAGGCGAACCGTGACTAGAAGGATCGAGGACATTGCGGGGAATCTGGAGCTTCAGCTGCAACGTGAAGTGGCAAGTTACGACTTTTTCTCCTTGGCTTTGGACGAGAGCTGTGATGTCCGCGACACAGCCCAGTTACTCGTATTCGTCCGCGGGATAACACCGGACTTCAAGATTACGGAGGAGCTGGCAGCAATGCGGTCGATGAAAGGGACGACGACAGGGAGCGATCTGTTCACGGAGGTAAACGAGTGCATGGACACGCTGGGACTGAAATGGGACAGACTGGCAGGTGTCAGAACGGATGGTTGTCCAAATCTTACCGGAAAAAATGTCGGACTTTTGAAACGTATGCAAGATAAAGTGACTGAAATCGACGCGGATCAGAAACTGGTATTTTTGCATTGTATTATACACCAACAACATGTGTTGTGCAAGTCAGTGCTAAAAATTAACCATGTTATTGATGTTGTTACTAAAATAGTAAACTTCATCAGCTTTGAACCACAGACAGTTTATCGCACTTTTGGAGGAGCATGAGACTGAGCATCGTGACATCGGCTACCACACAGCTATCAGATGGCTCAGCCTGGGCAAAGTGCTAAAAAGAGTTTGGGACCTGAAAGCAGAGATTCGAGAGTTTTGTGAGAAGAAAGGCAAAGACTTCCCAGAGCTCTCAGATGAGGACTGGATGGCAGATTTTGCATTTGCTGTTGATGTGACTGCACTGATGAATGAACTGAATACCAAACTGCAAGGCAAGGGCCTTTTTGTTCATGAAATGCACAGCCTGGTGAAGGCTTTCATGACAAAGATGCAGTTTCTTTCAAGCCAACTGGAGAGCAACAATCTCACTCACATGCAAACCCTGAAAGAAGTCACACCATCAGCTGATCACCTCCGCAGGTACTCATCCATGTTGGGAGCATTGCATGGTGAGTTTTCAAGGCGATTTGAAGATCTCAGAAAAATCGAGGATGAAATGCACCTGATTTCCTCTCCCTTTACCTGCAGTGTGGATAATGCACCCAGTGATGTTCAGCTGGAACTCATCGACCTGCAGTCGGATGCAGTACTGGCAGAACACTTTAAGTCAGGATCTCTGCTGGATTTCTACTCTTCTCTCAAGGAGGAGAACTTTCCAAACATGAGGAGACATGCTCAGAAGATGTTGGTTCTCTTTGGCTCGACCTACATATGTGAACAAACATTTTCAATTATGAAGTTTACGAAATCCAGGAATAGATCCTCTCTCACTGATGATCATCTGTCAGCTGTGCTTCGCATCTCCACCTCAGACATTCAACCTGACCTTGATGCACTCGTTAAAGCCCAGCAGAGACTAGATTTCTCTCACTGAACAAGAAAAGAGAACTTAAAAACACCAAATGAGGTGGTTAGCCTACAAATGTTGGCATGTAAAGGCACCAACTAGCAGTGAACTGGGACACTTTCTTTGGAAGCCTTTTTCTCAAAATCACAGTTCAGTGATGTTTAGTGACAGTTCAATATGATGTATCTTGCTTAATATTTGGAGTACAAAGACAATATTGTGATGTCTTTAGAATGCTAAGAACCTCTTTCCAACAGTAAATGAAACTCAAAATGTGTTTGAGTGAATGTGACTGAAAATGTTCACTAATATGAGTCACAAATGGTGAAAAACGTTCATTTTGTTTACCATTGTTTTGGGAAATTTGATTTAATAAATGACATTTTTTTGTAAGGCAACCTCACTTTTTCATTGCTTAACTATAACATATACTCTTACCAGCTTGTCAAAACAATGCTATTTACTGCTTTTTATAAAGAAATACAATTAATATTATGCAGAATTGAGTTCAGCCTTTTGGCCTGGCCCTCCACAATATTTTCAGTTTCTCATGTGGCCCCATGGAAAAAATAATTGTCCCACCCCTAATATAGACTCTTATGGCACTACTTCTATTCTATTTTATTGTATTTACTTAAACTATTTTATCAGTTTTATTGTGTTGCACTGTTGGAGGAGCCTTTGACCTCAGATTTGCATCCACATATCTACACTGTAGCTGTGTACGAATGACAATAAAAGCCTTGGATCTTGAAAAATCTTGAATCTGATAATCATTACAGTCGAGAATGGTGTCTTTCCTGTACAGACCACCAGGGGGAGCTATTGCTAATGCAAATATCCTCTTCTTCTGAAAAAGGTCAAAACCATTCAGCTGTCATCACATACTCCTACTAAGTCCTCCTAAGTTCTCTCAATTTATTATTTTATTTGAAGAATATTTGGATTTCCTTTGGAGCCACATCGGTCGTGGTCTTTGTCTTCTCTTGTGTTTGTTCTCATTCCTGCTCTTTGAGGTTTGAAGTTCAAGATGTTTCAAATGTTCATATCTTATCAAGATGTCTTCATCTCATGCAGTCATGTCCTCTTCCTCTTTCTCCGGGAAGTTTAATTGTGCATATGGAAACAATTCATGACGCCTCATTAAAAACAACAACTTTGTTTTGTATTTTACCATTAAGATTCTCAATGAAGGAACTGTTGTATGTTTTTGATTTATTTATCTTATAGTACTTTCAATCCTTGCTGTTTGAAATCTTATTAAAGTAGAGACACTACATACTGATATACACCTGAACATCAGCAGGAGAGGACTCTTTAAAGTAGAGACACTACATACTGATATACACCTGAACATCAGTAGGAGAGGACTCTTTAAATTAGAGACACTACATACTGATATACACCTGAACATCAGCAGGAGAGGACTCTTTAAAGTAGAGACACTACATACTGATATACACCTGAACATCAGCAGAAGAGGACTCTTTAAAGTAGAGACACTACATCCTGATATACACCTGAACATCAGCAGGAGAGGACTCTTTAAAGTAGAGACACTACATACTGATATACACCTGAACATCAGCAGGAGAGGACTCTTTAACATAGAGACACTACATACTGATATACACCTGAACATCAGCAGGAGAGGACTCTTTAAAGTAGAGACACTACATACTGATATACACCTGAACATCAGCAGGAGAGGACTCTTTAAAGTAGAGACACTACATACTGATATACACCTGAACATCAGCAGGAGAGTACTCTTTAAAGTAGATACACTACATACTTATATACACCTGAACATCAGCAGGAGAGGACTCTTTAAAGTAGAGACACTACATACTGATATACACCTGAACATCAGCAGGAGAGGACTCTTTAAAGTAGAGACACTACATACTGATATACACCTGAACATCAGCAGGAGAGGACTCTTTAAAGTAGAGACACTACATACTGATATACACCTGAACATCAGCAGGAGAGGACTCTTTAAAGTAGAGACACTACATACTGATATACACCTGAACATCAGCAGGAGAGGACTCTTTAAAGTAGAGACACTACATACTGATATACACCTGAACATCAGCAGAAGAGGACTCTTTAAAGTAGAGACACTACATCCTGATATACACCTGAACATCAGCAGGAGAGGACTCTTTAAAGTAGAGACACTACATACTGATATACACCTGAACATCAGCAGAAGAGGACTCTTTAAAGTAGAGACACTACATCCTGATATACACCTGAACATCAGCAGGAGAGGACTCTTTAAAGTAGAGACACTACATACTGATATACACCTGAACATCAGCAGGAGAGGACTCTTTAAAGTAGAGACACTACATACTGATATACACCTGAACATCAGCAGGAGAGGACTCTTTAAAGTAGAGACACTACATACTGATATCAACCTATTAGAATCCACAGAGAGACAAAAGAAAAATGTTTAATTTATTTCCATTGTTTATTCGTTGCCCAATTAAAGCAGAACAACCTGGGAGACAATTACATATGATTACACACAACAAACATTAGACGGAGCCGAGCGTTGTTCTCCAGGCGATAAACGGAGCCATTTTCTTCATCACGCTTTACTGTGAGGAAAGGCACAGTAGACCAGCCAGTATATAGAGTAAAAGGTACCTAAAAAAACATAAATCACAAAGATGTTTTATTATTAAACAATTGTTTTGGTTTTTGGTTTTGGAAAGTGTTAGAAACATATCACTGGTCCCCGGCTTGATCTTCAATCTCAGGATCCATGTATTTGTGATCCTCTCCAGAATGGAAGTAGTCATCACATACAGAGCATCAACTAGTTCCTGAACAGTGTCCTTCACATGCTGATATCCAAGAGAGGGAGTTACACAGTCACAAGATGGAGGAATAGAAAGCAGTATTCAATGTTTACTTCAGATTAGCTCCACGTCAGAAATGATCATGCTTGTCATATGTCTATCTCCATAGAGGCTGAATCATCATGTTAATCACATAGCTATCATATGCCTCAAACAGTCCTGATGCTCTTCTAGGTAATCATACATCCTGTCATGTACACAGCTACAGTTGGGGTACCTTTGTTATCACGTTACTCTCAGATTGGAAGAGGACATACAGGATTTTTCCAACAACTACTTATTTTTCTGACAACTTTTTACTTTTACTTCTTACATTTCCCAAACAGGCTGGTTCCTTTAGTTTGAATGTGTGTTTGGTGGCGTGATCATTATTATTTAGAGTCATTGCCTATTGATTTGAACACGATCCGTGTATCCATCATTTCCTGGTCTTCTCTAAAGAAGAGGGACCAATGAAAACGTTGTCATGTTGCCGTTGTTCAGCATGGAAACATTCATTAGCTAACAATGACATTATTGTTCTATTAATATAAAGGGAGGTCAGGTACTCTTTAAAACAGCTGATAGTTATGGGTACTTTTTACTGAAGTACATTTCAAAGCCCTCTTTACTTTTACTTGAGTAAAGAAGTTTAGTCAGTACTTAAAACACGAGTATCTGTACTTCTACTTGAGTAAAGGATGTGTGTACTTTTGCCCTCTCTGATCATGTGCTACTCTGATATTGAAGAGTACATTCAGTATTTTCCCAACAGAAAGTCTGCATTTTACCTCCGATAGTTAGCGCCATGGTGGCTCTGTACATCAGGACGTCTCCGACTCCCCCCTTTATGTGAACTGGCAAACCATTGTCCTCCTGGAGAGAAAAAACATAATAAGTGTTTGCATAAAAAGATATCACCTAACACATTATCAATCAATAGTGCCTGTGAGTCATGGGGCTGTTTTCTCAGAGGAATTTGATTGCCATATTTCTTTTTCGTAGGTTGAACCATGTGTTTTTGTTCGGACCTCTAATTGTTTCAGTGTATTTTTGTTGGATGTTGAAGTGAAATAATCGCAGCCAAACTCCACAAATATATTTTAGATCTGAGAGAAATGGCAGAACTGCAGATTACGTATATCCATGTGCATTCACTGAAGATATAAAACAGATTCAAAAGCCCACAGTTATTGAAGTTAAATAAAGATAAATAGATACAAGTTTATATACTCAATAAAATAAAAAGCAAATCAGCATTTTCATGACTCATATGAGGAGTAATTCAAATATTTGTATTGAGCCATTGTATTCACTGATATAAAACTGATAAAAAAGCACATTTAAAAGCCTTTAGCTTAGCGGTGGTGAGGTGAAGTCATGTGACCGTGCTGTAGTTCCTTTATAGCCCAACATTAGCCACCTTTAGCTTAGCGGTGGTGACGTGAAGTCATGTGACTGTTGAGGTATAGCATACAGAGATATGTATGACTCCATGTATTACTGTGTACCATATTGTTTATATAAGTAGCTGTGACTACTACTGTGTTCATTGGGTAGCGCTGTGGCACATGATTGTGATGTCACTACCTGGGGTATATGACAGTTGGAGTCACGCCCCTTCTTTGTCAGTTCTCATTTCTCTTGACTTGTGTGCATCTAATAAATAACGCTGAGACGAATGGCTAAACTTGAACTGTGAGAATAGTCACCTTTCTGCTGCAGATAGACAAAAGCTATAAGTCTAAATCTGCTAACAGTGACCATGCTGTAGTTTCTTTATAGCCCAACATTAGCCACCTTTAGCTTAGCGGTGGTGACGTGAAGTCATGTGACCGTGCTGTAGTTCCTTTATAGCCCAACATTAGCCACCTTTAGCTTAGCGGTGGTGACGTGAAGTCATGTGACCATGCTGTAGTTCCTTTATAGCCCAACATTAGCCACCTTTAGCTTAGCGGTGGTGACGTGAAGTCATGTGACCGTGCTGTAGTTCCTTTATAGCCCAACATTAGCCACCTTTAGCTTAGCGGTGGTGACGTGAAGTCATGTGACCGTGCTGTAGTTCCTTTATAGCCAGGGGTGCACATAACTGGTACGCAGGTACGCATGCGCGGCAACAATCAGAAACCGTACCGTCACTCGCGTCACAAAGCGCATTTGCGTACCGACGTGAATGTGAAGCTTTTCCAGAAGGCGGTTAGTTCACCGGACGACAGAGTCGGTCTCCGTGTGCACAGACAGGGCTGCTGTTAACGTCGGTCTGTACAGCAGCCCTGCGCTAAAACAGCTGATCCCAACGTTCACACGCTCCACGGTCACGAAGCTCTGTACTCCACTACCACCCCCCCCCCCCGTTGACAATCGCGAAGCGCTGTACTCCACTGACGCCACCCCCCCCCCGTTGACAATCGCGAAGCGCTGTACTCCACCCCCCCCCGTTGACAATCGCGAAGCGCTGTACTCCACCCTCCCCCCCCCCCCCGTTGACAATCGCGAAGCGCTGAACTCCACTGACGCCACCCCCACCCCCCCCCGTTGACAATCGTCAGAAGTTGGAGTACCAAACACTGACTCCAGGTAGTCATCTGAGTACCTCACTGAGAAAGTTGTGTGCACCCCTGTTTATAGCCCAACATTAGCCACCAATTAGCTTACTGGTGGTGACGTGAAGTCATGTGACCATGCTGTAGTTTCTTCATAGCCCAACATTAGCCACCTTTAGCTTAACGGTGGTGAAGTCATGTGACCGTAATGTAGTTTCTTTATAGCCCAACATTAGCTTTTACTTCAGAAGAGGTGTTGTTTTCCCCCCAGTAAGCATTACACAGATCAGTAAACCTGAGTTCTTTAGATTTTTAAGCCTGTTTGTGTTTTCATTGCTGCTGTGTTGCTGTGTAACATCTCACAGTGATAAATCCCAACATTACTTTTCTGTTCTCTCCTGTTTTACCTGGAAGATCTTCTGGGCGTCGGGGACTTTGTTCTTCAGCTGTCTGGCGGAAATGCTGAAGGCACGCTGGGCCAGAACTGGAACTTTCTGCAAAACGCATAATAATGTCAAGCTTAGTTTGGAAAAGTGCCACAATGAAATGCTGCTAAAAAGAACAAGAGTTTAAATATCCTCAAAACTCTGAGGAAATATCTGGCAAAGTATTTTGGCAAATTGTATGTAGCCTACTGTAAGTAAGAAAGTATGCAAGAAAGCAAGCAAGCAAGAAAGCAAGAAGTGAGTAAATAAGTTAGTAAGCATGCAAGCAAGTACGTATCAAGCAAGTACGTATCAAGCAAGTACGTATCAAGCAAGTACGTATCAAGCAGGTGATTATGGTAAAAAGTAAGCATGCAAGCAAGTACGTACTGTATCAAGCAAAGGAGTAAACAAGTCAGGTAAAAGTAAGCAATTAAGTAAATAAGTCTGTAAGCATGCAAGCAAGTAAGTAAGAGTGTAAGTAAACTAGTAAGCAAGTAAGCATGCAAGGAACAGAGCAAGTAAGTAAGTCAATAAATGTCAAACAAGCGAATAAGATAGATAGATAGATAGATAGATAGATAGATAGATAGATAGATAGATAGATAGATAGATAGATAGATAGATAGATAGATAGATAGATAGATAGATAGATAGATATATAGATAGATAGATAGATGGATAGATAGATAGATAGATAAATAGATAGATAGATAGATAGATGATGGATAGATAGATAGATAGATAGATGCTCGCTCGCTCGCTCGCTCGCTCCTCGCTGGCTGGCTCGCTCGCTCGCTCGCTCGCTCGCTGCTCGCTCGCTCGCTCGCTCGGCTCGCTCGCTCGCTCGCTCGCTCGCTCGCTCTCTCGCTCGCTGCTCGCTCGCTCGCTCGCTCGTCGCTCGCTCTCTCGCTCGCTCGTGCTGCGCTCGCTCGCTCGCTCGCTCGCTCGCTGGCTCGCTCGCTCGCTCGCTCGCTCCTCGCTCGCTCGCTCTCTCGCTCGCTCGCTCGCTCGCTCGCTCGCTCGCTCGCTCCTCGCTCGCTCGCTCGCTCGCTCGGCTCGCTCGCTCGCTCGCTGGCTGGCTCGCTCGCTCGCTGATATCTAGATAGATAGATAGATAGATGGATAGATAGATAGGTACATTATTGATCCCAATTTGGGAAATGTTTGCGTTGCAGCAGCATGGAAAACACAAGGTAATGTACATAAATAAACTAAGACACATACAGTAAATAAAACAGTCAAATATATTTCAGAAATAGAAATAAAATAGCATCAAAAAGTTAAAAAGTTAAAAGATTACAAAAAATATATATATACATGTGGAAATACAAATTTCCGGTAACAAATTTAATGCAGGATATTACTGTGCAAGAATGGATTATTCAATATGAAATAGAATATGAATGTAAAATGTCCAGTGGGATTTTAAGTCCATTAAGAGATACAAATACACAAATCACAAAGTATAAAAGAGGTTTCATGCATAAGGGAACTTTTAGGGAGGCTGTGGCTCAGTGGATAGTGTGCTGGACTTCGAATCAGGGGATAGCAAGTTTGAGTCCCACTGCAGTCAGCATGTCGTTGTGTCCCTGAGACACTTCACCCCAAATTGCTCCTGTGGGGATTGTCCACAGTACTGAATGTACTCTTTAAAGTAGAGACACTACATACTGATATACACCTGAACATCAGCAGGAGAGGACTCTTTAAAGTAGAGACACTACATACTGATATACACCTGAACATCAGCAGGAGAGGACTCTTTAAAGTAGAGACACTACATACTGATATACACCTGAACATCAGCAGGAGAGCACTCTTTAAAGTAGAGACACTACATACTGATATACACCTGAACATCAGCAGGAGAGGACTCTTTAAAGTAGAGACACTACATACTGATATACACCTGAACATCAGCAGGAGAGGACTCTTTAAAGTAGAGACACTACATACTGATATACACCTGAACATCAGCAGGAGAGGACTCTTTAAAGTAGAGACACTACATACTGATATACACCTGAACATCAGCAGGAGAGGACTCTTTAAAGTAGAGACACTACATACTGATATCAACCTATTAGAATCCACAGAGAGACAAAAGAAAAATGTTTAATTTATTTCCATTGTTTATTCAGCGTTGCCCAATTAAAGCAGAACAACCTGGGAGACAATTACATATGATTACACACAACAAACATTAGACGGAGCCGAGCGTTGTTCTCCAGGCGATAAACGGAGCCATTTTCTTCATCACGCTTTACTGTGAGGAAAGGCACAGTAGACCAGCCAGTATATAGAGTAAAAGGTACCTAAAAAAACATAAATCACAAAGATGTTTTATTATTAAACAATTGTTTTGGTTTTTGGTTTTGGAAAGTGTTAGAAACATATCACTGGTCCCCGGCTTGATCTTCAATCTCAGGATCCATGTATTTGTGATCCTCTCCAGAATGGAAGTAGTCATCACACACAGAGCATCAACTAGTTCCTGAACAGTGTCCTTCACATGCTGATATCCAAGAGAGGGAGTTTCACAGTCACAAGATGGAGGAATAGAAAGCAGTATTCAATGTTTACTTCAGATTAGCTCCACGTCAGAAATGAGCATGCTTGTCATATGTCTATCTCCATAGAGGCTGAATCATCATGTTAATCACATAGCTATCATATGCCTCAAACAGTCCTGATGCTCTTCTAGGTAATCATACATCCTGTCATGTACACAGCTACAGTTGGGGTACCTTTGTTATCATGTTACTCTCATATTGGAAGAGGACATACAGGATTTTTCCAACAACTACTTATTTTTCTGACGACTTTTTACTTTTACTTCTTACATTTCCCAAACAGGCTTGTTCCTTTAGTTTGAATGTGTGTTTGGTGGCGTGATCATTATTATTTAGAGTCATTGCGTGCCTATTGATTTGAACACGATCCGTGTATCCATCATTTCCTGGTCTTCTCTAAAGAAGAGGGACCAATGAAAACGTTGTCATGTTGCCGTTGTTCAGCATGGAAACATTCATTAGCTAACAATGACATTATTGTTCTATTAATATAAAGGGAGGTCAGGTACTCTTTAAAACAGCTGCTAGTTATGGGTACTTTTTACTGAAGTACATTTCAAAGCCCTCTTTACTTTCACTTGAGTAAAGAAGTTTAGTCACTACTTCTACTTTTACCAGAGTTTTTTTAAACACGAGTATCTGTACTTCTATTTGAGTAAAGGATGTGTGTACTTTTGCCCTCTCTGATCATGTGCTACTCTGATATTGAAGAGTACATTCAGTATTTTCCCAACAGAAAGTCTGCATTGACGCGAAAGGGATTCTGACATAAAGTCAATATAGAACGATTTGGGTATGAGAACGTCTTGGATTAGGATTCATCCTCTGGGGACCATGAATGCATGAACACCATTTCATGACAATCCTTCGAATAGTGGTTTAAGTATTAGCAAGACTATAGTCACTACGTCAGAAAATGATCATTCAATAAATCAATCAAACGTTATCTACATCCATCATTGCAAGTACTTTACCTATAAGATAAAATACGAGTATTGTTTAAGACAAAATAATAATTAAACCTTAGAAAAGAAGATACCAAGATCATTTGTTAAATAAGCGTGTCTTCTTAAATTATTGGAAATGCATACAGAATAGTATATAGTTTACAAATGCTGTTTCAGTTTGACACATTAATTAAAAAGCAACATCGTGTTTTAGTTTAAAGTGGACCTATCATGCTATATTTGAATAATATAGTGTAGGACCATACCTATATAAGGCATATTTATACTTTTTTTTTTTCAAAATACCAAACAGATCATGCATTTTAGCCATGCCTCATTTTGCTCAATTTGACAATTTATAGCTCTGGGCAGATTCATGTGAGAACAGCACCATCCTACAGGCCTGGCATATGTACTACAGCGTCTCCAGCGCTTTCGAACGGCAATGGCCGTGGCTGTCTCCTCCTGATTGGTGGAGTTGGCCCAATAGCCGTAGCGCCACCGTCCTGACGTCAGGACAGTGTTCAAATCTGGATCAGTTTTTATCAGATCCGTTGCAGCCCCTTTTTTAGAGATTTGGGTATGGAGGAAAATAGAGAGGGTTGTGTTTTCTGACACTTGGTGAGTTCCCTGGAACACCGGGGACACATATTCATGTATAAAAGACGTACACAAGTGCATTTTGCATGATAGGTCCCCTTTAATAAATCAGGTGTCTACTTATACTGCATTTCAAATAAAGAATAATGAAAGTAGTCTAAATGAAACCAAAAAGAAAATAAGGCGTTAATGTCTATCATTTATATATCTGTTTTAAAATGTATTGTAACATTGTAATCCTGCCAGTAAACCCCATCTTTTGAAAATGTACCAGTAATCTGATTACATTTAAGGGAATACAGTTGTATGTATCACTTGTATATAGACTCTTATGGCACTACTTCTATTCTATTTTATTGTATTTACTTAAACTATTTTCTCAGTTTTATTGTGTTGCACTGTTGGAGGAGCCTTTGACCTCAGATTTGCATCCACATATCTACACTGTAGCTGTGTACGAATGACAATAAAAGCCTTGGATCTTGAAATATCTTGAATCTGATAATCATTACAGTCGAGAATGGTGTCTTTCCTGTACAGACCACCAGGGGGAGCTATTGCTAATGCAAATATCCTCTTCTTCTGAAAAAGGTCAAAACCATTCAGCTGTCATCACATCTCCTACTAAGTCCTCCTAAATTCTCTCAATTTATTATTTTATTTGAAGAATATTTGGATTTCCTTTGGAGCCACATCGGTCGTGGTCTTTGTCTTCTCTTGTGTTTGTTCTCATTCCTGCTCTTTGAGGTTTGAAGTTCAAGATGTTTCAAATGTTCATATTTTATCAAGATGTCTTCATCTCATGCAGTCATGTCCTCTTCCTCTTTCTCTGGGAAGTTTAATTGAGCATATGGAAACAATTCATGACGCCTCATTAAAAACAACAACTTTATTTTGTATTTTACCATTAAGATTTTCAGTGAAGCAACTGTTGTATGTTTTTGATTTATTTATCTTATAGTACTTGAGTAACTGTACTTTCAATCCTTGCTGTTTGAAATCTTATTAAAGTAGAGACACTACATACTGATATACACCTGAACATCAGCAGGAGAGGACTCTTTAAAGTAGAGACACTACATACTGATATACACCTGAACATCAGCAGGAGAGAACTCTTTAAAGTAGAGACACTACATACTGAATATACACCTGAACATCAGCAGGAGAGGACTCTTTAAAGTAGAGACACTACATACTGATATACACCTGAACATCAGCAGGAGAGGACTCTTTAAAGTAGAGACACTACATACTGATATACACCTGAACATCATCAGGAGAGGACTCTTTAAAGTAGAGACACTACATACTGATATACACCTGAACATCAGCAGGAGAGGACTCTTTAAAGTAGAGACACTACATACTGATATACAGCTGAACATCAGCAGGAGGACCTTTAAGTAGAGACACTACCAACCTATTTTAAAGTAGAGACACTACCAACCTATTATAATCCACAGAGAGACAAAAGAAAATGTTTAATTTATTTCCATTGTTTATTCGTTGCCCAATTAAAGCAGAACAACCTGGGAGACAATTACATATGATTACACACAACAAACATTAGACGGAGCCGAGCGTTGTTCTCCAGGCGATAAACGGAGCCATTTTCTTCATCACGCTTTACTGTGAGGAAAGGCACAGTAGACCAGCCAGTATATATAGAGTAAAAGGTACCTAAAAAACATAAATCACAAAGATGTTTTATTATTAAACAATTGTTTTGGTTTTGTTGGTTTTGGAAAGTGTTAGAAACATATCACTGGTCCCCGGCTTGATCTTCAATCTCAGGATCCATGTATTTGTGATCCTCTCCAGAATGGAAGTAGTCATCACATACAGAGCATCAACTAGTTCCTGAACAGTGTCCTTCACATGCTGATATCCAAGAGAGGGAGTTACACAGTCACAAGATGGAGGAATAGAAAGCAGTATTCAATGTTTACTTCAGATTAGCTCCACGTCAGAAATGATCATGCTTGTCATATGTCTATCTCCATAGAGGCTGAATCATCATGTTAATCACATAGCTATCATATGCCTCAAACAGTCCTGATGCTCTTCTAGGTAATCATACATCCTGTCATGTACACAGCTACAGTTGGGGTACCTTTGTTATCATGTTACTCTCATATTGGAAGAGGACATACTGGATTTTTCCAACAACTACTTATTTTTCTGACGACTTTTTACTTTTACTTCTCACATTTTCCAAACAGGCTTGTTCCTTTAGTTTGAATGTGTGTTTGGTGGCGTGATCATTATTATTTAGAGTCATTGCGTGCCTATTGATTTGAACACGATCCGTGTATCCATCATTTCCTGGTCTTCTCTAAAGAAGAGGGACCAATGAAAACGTTGTCATGTTGCCGTTGTTCAGCATGGAAACATTCATTAGCTAACAATGACATTATTGTTCTATTAATATAAAGGGAGGTCAGGTACTCTTTAAAACAGCTGCTAGTTATGGGTACTTTTTACTGAAGTACATTTCAAAGCCCTCTTTACTTTTACTTGAGTAAAGAAGTTTAGTCAGTGCTTAAAACACGAGTATCTGTACTTCTACTTGAGTAAAGGATGTGTGTACTTTTGCCCTCTCTGATCATGTGCTACTCTGATATTGAAGAGTACATTCAGTATTTTCCCAACAGAAAGTCTGCATTTTACCTCCGATAGTTAGCGCCATGGTGGCTCTGTACATCAGGACGTCTCCGACTCCCCCCTTTATGTGAACTGGCAAACCATTGTCCTCCTGGAGAGAAAAAACATAATAAGTGTTTGCATAAAAAGATATCACCTAACACATTATCAATCAATAGTGCCTGTGAGTCATGGGGCTGTTTTCTCAGAGGAATTTGATTGCCATATTTCTTTTTCGTAGGTTGAACCATGTGTTTTTGTTCGGACCTCTAATTGTTTCAGTGTATTTTTGTTGGATGTTGAAGTGAAATAATCGCAGCCAAACTCCACAAATATATTTTAGATCTGAGAGAAATGGCAGAACTGCAGATTACGTATATCCATGTGCATTCACTGAAGATATAAAACAGATTCAAAAGCCCACAGTTATTGAAGTTAAATAAGATAAATAGATACAAGTTTATATACTCAATAAAATAAAAAGCAAATCAGCATTTTCATGACTCATATGAGGAGTAATTCAAATATTTGTATTGAGCCATTGTATTCACTGATATAAAACTGATAAAAAAGCACATTTAAAAGCCTTTAGCTTAGCGGTGGTGAGGTGAAGTCATGTGACCGTGCTGTAGTTTCTTTATAGCCCAACATTAGCCACCTTTAGCTTAGCGGTGGTGAGATGAAGTCATGTGACCGTGCTGTAGTTCCTTTATAGCCCAACCATTAGCCACCTTAGCTTAGCTTAGCGTGGTGACGTGAAGTCATGTGACTGTTGAGGTATAACATACAGAGATATGTATGACTCCATGTATTACTGTGTACCATATTGTTTATATAAGTAGCTGTGACTACTACTGTGTTTATTGTGGTTAGCGCTGTGGCCACATGATTGTTGATGTCACTACCTGGGGGTATATCTGACAGTTGGGTCACCGCCCCTTCTTTGTCAGTTTCTCATTCTCTTGACTTGTGTGCATCTAATAAATAACGCTTGAGACGAATGGCTAACTTGAACTGTGAGGAATCGTCACCTTTCTGCTGCAGAATAGAACAAAGGCTATAAGTCTAAATCTGCTAACCAGTGACCATGCTGTAGTTTCTTTATAGCCCAACATTAGCCACCCTTTAGCTTAGCGGTGGTGGTGACGTTGAAGTCATGTGACCCGTTGCTTGTAGTTTCCTTTTATAGCCCCCCAACATTAGCCACCTTTAGCCTTTAGCGGTGGTGACCGCTGAAGTCATGTGACCATGCATGTAGTTACTTTTATTAGCCCAACATCTTAGCCCACCTTTAGCTTAGCGGTACTCCACGGTGACGTGAAGTCATGTGACCTGGTGTTTCTTACTAGCCCAAAATTAGCCACTTTCGCTTAGCGGTGGTGAGTGAAGTATGTGACCGTGTGTTCTTTTGTAGTTCCTTATAGCCCAACATTAGCCACCTTTAGCTTTAGCGTTGGTGACAGAATGAGTATTTGTGACCGTGCTTTAGTTCCTTTATAGCCAACATCATGTGACCGTGCTGTAGTTCCTTTATAGCCAGGGGTCACATAACTGGTACGCAGGTACGCATGCGCGCAACAATCAGAAACCGTACCGTCACTCGCGTCACAAAGCGCATTTGCGTACCGACGTGAATGTGAAGCTTTTCCAGAAGGCGGTTAGTTTCACCGACGACAGAGTCGGTCTCCGTGTGCACAGACAGGGCTGCTGTTAACGTCGGTCTGTACAGCAGCCCTGCGCTAAAACAGCTGATCCCAACGTTCACACGCTCCACGGTCACGAAGCTCTGTACTCCACTACCACCCCCCCCCCCCGTTGACAATCGCGAAGCGCTGTACTCCACTGACGCCACCCCCCCCCGTTGACAATCGCGAAGCGCTGTACTCCACCCCCCCCCGTTGACAATCGCGAAGCGCTGTACTCCACCCTCCCCCCCCCCCCCCGTTGACAATCGCGAAGCGCTGAACTCCACTGACGCCACCCCCCCCCCCCCCCGTTGACAATCGTCAGAAGTTGGAGCACCAAACACTGACTCCAGGTAGTCATCTGAGTACCTCACTGAGAAAGTTGTGTGCACCCCTGTTTATAGCCCAACATTAGCCACCAATTAGCTTACTGGTGGTGACGTGAAGTCATGTGACCATGCTGTAGTTTCTTCATAGCCCAACATTAGCCACCTTTAGCTTAACGGTGGTGAAGTCATGTGACCGTAATGTAGTTTCTTTATAGCCCAACATTAGCTTTTACTTCAGAAGAGGTGTTGTTTTCCCCCCAGTAAGCATTACACAGATCAGTAAACCTGAGTTCTTTAGATTTTTAAGCCTGTTTGTGTTTTCATTGCTGCTGTGTTGCTGTGTAACATCTCACAGTGATAAATCCCAACATTACTTTTCTGTTCTCTCCTGTTTTACCTGGGAGATCTTCTGGGCGTCGGGGGACTTTGTTCTTCAGCTGTCTGGCGGAAATGCTGAAGGCACGCTGGGCCAGAACTGGAACTTTCTGCAAAACGCATAATAATGTCAAGCTTAGTTTGGAAAAGTGCCACAATGAAATGCTGCTAAAAAGAACAAGAGTTTAAATATCCTCAAAACTCTGAGGAAATATCTGGCAAAGTATTTTGGCAAATTGTATGTAGCCTACTGTAAGTAAGAAAGTATGCAAGAAAGCAAGCAAGCAAGAAAGCAAGAAGTGAGTAAATAAGTTAGTAAGCATGCAAGCAAGTACGTATCAAGCAAGTACGTATCAAGCAAGTACGTATCAAGCAAGTACGTATCAAGCAGGTGATTATGGTAAAAAGTAAGCATGCAAGCAAGTACGTACTGTATCAAGCAAAGGAGTAAACAAGTCAGGTAAAAGTAAGCAATTAAGTAAATAAGTCTGTAAGCATGCAAGCAAGTAAGTAAGAGTGTAAGTAAACTAGTAAGCAAGTAAGCATGCAAGGAACAGAGCAAGTAAGTAAGTCAATAAATGTCAAACAAGCGAATAAGATAGATAGATAGATATAGATAGATAGATCGATAGATAGATAGATATATATATAGATAGTACTAGATAGATATCGATAGATAGCTCGATATTATAGCTAGATCGCTAGATAGATAGCTGCTAGATCGCTCTCTCGCTCCTCGCTAGCATCGCTCGCTCGCTCGCTGGCTGCTCGCTCGCTCATGCTCGCTCGCTCGCTCGCTCGCTCGATCGCTCGCTCGTGCTCGCTCGATCGCTCGCTCGCTCGTGGCTCGCTCGCTCGCTCGCTCGCTCGCTCGTAGCTCGCTCGCTCGCTATCTCGCTCGCTCGCTCGCTGCTCGCTGCTGCTCTCCTCGCTCGCTCGCTCGCTCGCTGGCTCTCTCGCTCGCTCGCTCGCTCGCTCGCTCGCTCGCTCGCTCGCTGGCTGGCTCGCTCGCTCTTCGCTCGCTCGCTCGCTCGCTCGCTCGCTCGCTCGCTCGCTCGCTCGCTGGCTGGCTCGCTCGCTCGCTCGCCTCGCTCGCTCGCTCGCTCGTCGCTCGCTCGCTCGGTGGCTCGCTCGCTCGCTCTGCTCGCTCGCTCGCTCTCTCGCTCGCTCGCTCGCTCGCTCGCTCGCTCTCTCGCTCGTCTCGCTCGCTCGCTGGCTCGCTCGCTCGCTCGCTCGCTCGCTCGCTCGCTCGCTCGCTCGCTCGCTCGCTCGCTCGCTCGCTCGCTCGCTCGCTCGCTCGCTCGCTCGCTCGCTCGCTCTCGCTCCTCGCTCGCTCGCTCGCTCGCTCTGGCTCGCTCGCTCGCTGGCTAGCTCGGCTCGCTCGCTCGCACGCTCGATAGGTACATTATTGATCCCAATTTGGGAATGTTTGCGTTGCAGCAGCATGGAAACACAGGTAATGTACATAATAAACTAAGACACATACAGTAAATAAAACAGTCAAATTATTTCAGAAATAGAAATAAAATAGCATCAAAAAGTTAAAAAGTTAAAAGATTACAAAAAATATATATATACATGTGGAAATACAAATTTCCGGTAACAAATTTAATGCAGGATATTACTGTGCAAGAATGGATTATTCAATATGAAATAGAATATGAATGTAAAATGTCCAGTGGGATTTTAAGTCCATTAAGAGATACAAATACACAAATCACAAAGTATAAAAGAGGTTTCATGCATAAGGGAACTTTTAGGGAGGCTGTGGCTCAGTGGATAGTGTGCTGGACTTCGAATCAGGGGATAGCAAGTTTGAGTCCCACTGCAGTCAGCATGTCGTTGTGTCCCTGAGACACTTCACCCCAAATTGCTCCTGTGGGGATTGTCCACAGTACTGAATGTACTCTTTAAAGTAGAGACACTACATACTGATATACACCTGAACATCAGCAGGAGAGGACTCTTTAAAGTAGAGACACTACATACTGATATACACCTGAACATCAGCAGGAGAGGACTCTTTAAAGTAGAGACACTACATACTGATATACACCTGAACATCAGCAGGAGAGCACTCTTTAAAGTAGAGACACTACATACTGATATACACCTGAAACATCAGCAGGAGAGGACTCTTTAAAGTAGAGACACTACATACTGATATACACCTGAACATCAGCAGGAGAGGACTCTTTAAAGTAGAGACACTACATACTGATATACACCTGAACATCAGCAGGAGAGGACTCTTTAAAGTAGAGACACTACATACTGATATACACCTGAACATCAGCAGGAGAGGACTCTTTAAAGTAGAGACACTACATACTGATATCAACCTATTAGAATCCACAGAGAGACAAAAGAAAAATGTTTTTAATTTATTTCCATTGTTTATTCAGCGTTGCCCAATTAAAGCAGAACAACCTGGGAGGACAATTACATATGATTACACACAACAAACATTAGACGGAGCCGAGCGTTGTTCTCCAGGCGATAAACGGAGCCATTTTCTTCATCACGCTTTACTGTGACAGGAAAGGCACAGTAGACCAGCAGTATATAGAGTAAAAGGTACCTAAAAAAACATAAATCACAAAGATGTTTTATTATTAAAACAATTGTTTGGTTTTTGGTTTTGGAAAGTGTTAGCAAACATATCACTGGTCCCCGGCTTGATCCCTTCAATCTCAGGATCCATGTATTTGTGATCTCTCTCC